CAACTATACGATCCGAAACAGAGTTTTCACCTGGCTCTTGATGATGATGTTAATCGAGAAGACAATCAAGCTTTTTCGAGTAGTAATAGTGAGCTAGTTAAGGTGAAGATCACAAAGAGGGAGCTTTTGGAGATGGTGGCAATTGCTCGAGTGGAAGGCGTGCCTGTGGACCGACTTCTCCTTTCCCGGTTGATCGAATACCGTTCGCCTCCACCCGAGCGCTCGTGGGAACCTGTCTTAGGTACCATTGCCGAGTAGATATGAATATTGGACAATGTAAACCTGCTGTTCTAATGTCCAGTTTGTTGATTCATTTAATTTAATTTGTTTGTAAAGCATGTTTTAGTTTTAATCTTTTTATTTTCCATCCTTTTGATCTAAAGCAAAATTTTTGAAATTTGATTTTGTGTGTCCGGTTTGTGAATATTAGAGCTTAAGTCAGAGCAAAATTTGAGCAGATGAAATTTAAGTTGATCTACAGCATTTGTATATGTGCTCATAAAGTTGCATTTGCTTCATGTACAAACATAATATTGATTGTTTATTGAAGAGTGAATTGAAAAAGGTTTCTTTTACACCATAATTTAATTAACGTAAATTGGAATAAATCAGATGTGAATGCCAAACAAATGAACATGGCTAAGGAATTCATTTTTTTTTTTTTATTTGTTTTTGGAACGCATAAAAGTCGGAAGGCACATATCTCTGTGTTTGCGATCGAAATTCACCATTATAATATATTTTCAGAAGTGGAATGACAATTATGGTTAAGTCTATATATTGTGCTTAGTGTGATGGACTAAGTGGTCCTAACTGATAAAATTCGAACAAAATATCCACATTCTTGATGTAGATAAATCAATGCTCATATAACTTTTAGAATAGATTCAAAAGAGTTGCTTGCCATGGTTACAAAGATCAAGAACATATATAGAACACACTAAAATCCTAAATGCTCTGGCGGTTGCCTCCATGGATATTCTCTAATCCGCACTTAAACAATCGACAACATACACATGCATGGTTAGGATCACTGCCATACGAGATAGTCGTTGGGCTCTTGCTGCCAAGGTTGTTGCAATCTGTCATATGGGAAAGGCATGCTGCAGGTGCTGCTCCCTCTTTGTCACCATGCACACGTTGGACGTCCACGGTGGCAGTTGTGTGGCAGGCAGATGCTTTTAGCACACCCCCTCACTTCGAGCCTAGGTAGAGAAGTGACAATAAGTCTATTCTTGAGCTTGGTGAAGAATTGTAGACTCAATGGCTTTGTAAATATATTCGCCAACTGCTCATAAATGGGTATATGTTGGACACTTGGTAACTTCTGACAAATCTTCACTATGATGAAGTCAATGTCAAGTTCAACATGCTTTGTCCTTGCCTGTAACACTGAATTACTGGCCAAGGAAATTATGTTTTGATTGTCAACCCAACATACATGAGTTTCTTTTATCCTAACTTCCAATTCCTTTAGAGACTGCAAACTGATCAGCTCTGTGGTGCATTGAGCTCTATATTTAGCCTCAGTGCTTGATCTTGATACACATCATTGCTTCTTTGAGGCCTATGAAATAAGATTGTTTCTCAAGTACACAGAGAAACCTATCACATATCTTCTATCATCAACATCACTAGCCCAATCTGCATCTGAGAAGGCACGCAATGTAAGTCTTTTTATCTTTTAATGTGTTACTCATGATTGGATGTCCCTGCAAAATATTTGAAGATTATCTTCACTGCCTTTAAGTTAGTGTGAAGAGAATTTGCCATGAATTGTGACACCCTGTTTACATCAAATGCTTGCTCTGGTGTAGTGGTTGTTTCATACTGTAAGACTCCCACTAAACTCTTATAAAACTTAGCATCCTCCAAAGGGTCACCTTATGTTTTTGAAAGTTTAGTTCCACTTACCATAGGAGTTGGTAATTCTTTACTCCATTTCATTTCTGCTCTATCTATAAGTTGTCTAATGTAGCTGCCTTGATTGGCAAGCAAGCCATCACTTGTTTCTGTCACCTCTATACCAAGAAAATGGTGAAAATTTCCAAGGTCCTTCAAGGAGAAGCATTCTTGAAGCTATTTGATCACAGATGAAATCAACCCTTGATTATTCCATGTAATTAGAATGTCATCAACACAGATAATAAGAAAGATAGTGCTCTGATTTTTTCTCTTGTAAAATAGGGAATTGGCGGCTTTAGATGTCAGAAAACCAAGCTTGATCAGCTCATTTTGCACCTTATGAAACCAGGCCCTTGAAGCAAGTTTTGATTCATATAGTGCCTTTGACAATTTGCAAACTAAATCTTATTGGTCTGTCACCTCATAGCCTTGAGGTTGTCCCATGTACATTTCATCTTCTAACTCTCCATGCAGAAAGGAATTGCTTACATTTAGTTGCCTTTATATTCCAAGAGTTACCCACAGCAAGAAATAGGATCACTCTGATGGTTGTTGTTTTCACCACTAGACTAAAAGTTTTTTTTTTTGTAATCTAGGCCAACATATTGAGAATATCCACATGCTACAAATCTAGCTTTATGCCTAGAGATTGATCCATCAGGATGCTTCTTCAACTTATTTACCCATTTGCAACCAACAAGGTTCCTTCGTCATGGTAGCTTTACAAGACTCCATGTTTTGTTTTTCACCAAGGCCTCATACTCCTCAGTCATAGCTTGTCCAATATTTGTGATTCACAACTTGGTGAAAATGAACTGGATCAAGCTCCTCTTGTGAGTCAGTCGTATATACCTTGGGTTTGTGAATCCCAGCTTTCCTCTTTGTTACCATAGGATGAATATTGGATGGTTATAGAATGCTTTGATTCATCTGAGTTGCTTCACTTCAAATATTATGTTCCTGCAATGTAGGATTAGGACAAAAAACATGTGTAATATCTTGTATAACAGGTAACTCAACTACCAAAGGAATTGTATCATGACTGGAGTGAGATGAGTTTGGTGTGTTTTGAGGTGAAGTGTTTTGTCCGAGAGAAGATTGGTGTTCATTATTAGTTGTTCCTTGCTTGTTCTTAGAGGAATATGAGTGAACTAAGAGAGATGTTATCAAAGGTGAGGTCGCAGTGGAATCATAAGAGTTCTTGTCATGTGAAGCCCTTATCCTTTCAGCACAAGGAAATACAGTCATTTCAATATACCCCTAGTCACTATAACTTTCCCTTTAGGCAAAAGAACCTTGTATCGTTTGGGAGGATTACTATATCCAAAGAACACTCCAGGTAGAGATATATACTCTAGTTTATAAAGTGACTTATGTTAAAGTGACTCTTCCATGGCCCATTTATTTCTATCACTTTGACATTTAGAATAATTCTTGTAACTAGCTCGTTACCAATTTTACCTTATTTGAAGTCATATATTAGTATTTTTCGTTTTCAGGAAAAGAAAACAAAAAGTAGTAGGTTCATCCTTTATTTTAATGCAACGGTTCACAAAATAGATAAATAAAATAAATAAATAAATAAATAAATAAAATGTAGTAGGTCATCCTTTTTTTTTTTGTTTTAACGCAACCCTTCACAAAACAGATAGATGAAGATAAATTTTTTTTATAGAAATTTATATATTTTCTCAAAACATGACATATTAACCTTCTAAACAATTTTGAATAATAATCATTTGGAGTGTTAGATTGTCATTATTAGAAAAATACAAATTTTACTGCTAGGCTACCTATGGATATATAAAATATCATACTTTTATTTATATTGCTTTTTAAGTTTTGATATTTCATTATGAAAGCACGTAAATCTATAGAAAAAAGTATGACTACACGACCATTTCGCACCTAACAACAATAGGTTGGCCCAACCGTATCTTTTTTTTTTTTTTTTTTCAAACGATAATTATATTAAAATTTAAAACTCAAAGAGTACAATCGAATTGTCAGCGGAGAAATCCTAGCAGAACTGCAACCTAGACTCCAGACCCAAAAATTGCGGCAATGCTCGAACCGTCTAGACAGATCTGGCAAGGAGGCGATTCTCAATCCAGATCTAGGCTTCATCAATATTCAACGTAGGGGGAGATTCGCCTCGAAAGACGACATCGAAGGAGTCACAGCGGAAGAGCACGACTAGCCACACTGGAGGAGCCCATAAACGAGGACCCAAACAGATTCGCCCAAACCGACCCGAGTTGTTCGGTGCCTCCAAATTAATTAGAACACAAAGCTAACGATTGGAAGGTCAAAAGACTCCGACGGACCGGCCCGAGGCTGGCGGCGCACACTGTATGATGGCGGCCCCAACCTTTGTCTGAGGGAGAGGCGGCGAGGCGAGAGCCTCCGCCCACCAATACTGGGGAAGTGAAGTATCGATAGGCCAACAGGGGAAGGGGTGGTGGCACTCGATCTGAAGGTTTCTAAAGATTTTTTTTTTTTTTTCCCTCTCAGCGGCGATTCGGGTATGTTGTATAAAACGAAGTTTCAAATCTCACTTTCTTGTTTTAATTGATGTAGATTTGTCCACACAATATTTATTTTTGCCATTTAAGAACAAAAGGTTGTGGATATGCTTAAAGGACTTATTTGGGCTTTAATTCTCTAATATAGTTTTGAGGTAACCAGACCTCTATCACTGTTTATTTAGTTTGATGATTCCTCAACTCCCTATCCCCATGTATTGTTACAGAAAATCGTGTTTCTTTTATGATTCGTAAAAGGAACAGCAAAACATGTGAAACACTGAAAAATACACACACTTTTAGCTGCTTAGAATGCTCGAGCTACAGAAGTCAACAGACTTGGTTTTACCTTTCTGACCTCAGCCCTACTCACAGTCCCATCCACCATAGCTAAACCCTCTTCCAAACTCTTGCTGTAATAAATCACACCAAATTCTACACTCACTTTTCCAAGTTTCATCCTGCAAGATTCCATCTTCTTCACGCCAAATTATACTCAACCCACTATCAAAGTTGCAATCTTGATTCTTGATTCCACCTATCGTGGTATTTGCCAAGAAAAAGAAAACAATGGGCGGCTGTTTTAGTAATCACAAATATTCAAGCCCAGATGCCAATAACCACAGATCAGAGAGGCCAATCCCCACAGATTACCAGCAGCACCATCAAAATCACCAAAAGCCCCCAGCTCAACCTCAACCCCATCCTCAGCCCCAAATTCCGGCTCCTCAGACCAAACCCGCCTCGCAAACTCAGAACAATGTCCAAAAACTGGAGCCCAACAACATCCTGGGAAAGCCCTTTGAGGATGTAAAGTCCAAGTATAAAATCGGCAAGGAACTGGGCCGGGGTCAATTTGGGGTCACCTATGCCTGCACCGAGATCGCCACGGGTCACCCTTATGCGTGCAAGTCGATTCTGAAGAGGAAACTCGTGAACAAGAACGACAGGGAGGATATGAAGAGGGAAGTTCATATAATGCAGCATTTAAGCGGGCAGCCGAATATAGTCGAGTTTAAGGGGGCTTATGAGGATAGGCTGACCGTGCATTTGGTGATGGAGCTTTGTGAGGGCGGGGAGCTTTTCGACAGGATTATTGCTCAGGGGCATTACTCGGAGAGGGCCGCAGCCGAGCTGTGTCGGCAGATCGTGAATGTGGTTCACCACTGCCATTTTATGGGGGTGATGCATAGGGATCTCAAGCCTGAGAACTTCTTGCTGTCGAGCAAGGACGAAAAGGCCATGCTGAAAGCCACGGATTTCGGGCTCTCTGTGTTTATTGAGGAAGGTGAGTTTGTTGTACCCCGGTTTTTTTTAGTAGATTTAATCCTGTTTTGATTTGAATGTTTTGCGTTCTTTAAATTTGATTTGATTTAAGTCCTTATGTGTTAAGTATTTTGTTTCTGTTGATCTCTGTGAGTTGAATTCTTATATGTACTGTACTGGGCTTTGTGGGAGTAGTAATGTAGCTTTTGCTTGTTATCTTGTCACTTTCTGGCGATGCAATTAGATTCATGCCACTTTTACACAAACCTTAGACATTAATCCAAATATCTTATTTTGGGCCATATTTTGGTAGCCTCTCCAAGGTGTCTTGCTCCAGCATACTATTCATCTGCATTTTTAATGATGATATTCTTCTGAATTATATGTATCCGCGGGATTAATTGGGAAAACTTGATGTATTATAGCATATTGCAACATCAGTTGCTCTGAAGGTTTATGATTTTTGTCATGTGTGCGATTGTGTAGGAACAAGTGAAGTATCTGCATTGTAGGGTAATGAGACTGATACATACATAGGATGTAAAACAAGTCTGATCGTGAGCATAGACATGAATTCGTGCCACTAACTTTTATCACTAATTTATCTACACTGCTGAGTGTTTCCCATTCTATGTTTTGATTTTTTTTCTTTTTTTTTGGGGATCCTTGTGTTTTGACCTCTTGATGTTTATTCAACATTAATGAGTTGTTATTTCCTGTCAATAATTTATTCCAGGAAAAGTATACCGTGATATAGTAGGCAGTGCTTACTACGTTGCTCCTGAAGTGTTGAAGCGGAGCTATGGGAAGGAAATAGATGTTTGGAGTGCTGGCGTTATTTTGTACATTCTTCTCAGTGGTGTGCCTCCATTTTGGGCTGGTAAAAAACTGAATCATAAATTTTTACATATTTTACTTCTCAATGTGCTTTTTTTTTTAAGTAATTTTTATTATTATGTTCTAAAATTATTTTTGTTTTTAATTTCTTTTGGGCAGAAACTGAAAAAGGCATCTTTGATGCTATATTGAAAGAAGAAATTGATTTTGACAGCAAGCCATGGCCTTCCATATCGGACAGTGCAAAAGATCTTGTTCGGAAGATGCTAACAAAGGACCCAACAAAAAGATTTACTTCCACTCAAGTTCTTGGTAATATTCTCTCCTCTTTCCATCTGTTGTTTGGGTTTCACTGTATACAACATTTGTTTTATCTTTAGTCATTTTTTCTAGTAGCTGTGTTTAGTTGTATCCATGACTGCAATATTTTCTCTTACAAAGAAAAAGCTCTGAGTTTGCTATGTTTGTGGATTTTAAGAACAAACGAAATATTACTGTCTGAGAGAGCTCATCATAGTCCAGCTAATTTTAACTATTATTTTTTTTTCCTTTTGTTTGCACAGCTGACGTGATATAAAAAATGAGAAACAATCTACAGCATCTTTTATTATTAGATTTCTATATGAATCGTTTTTACATTTTCGTTTGTATATGTAAATAATTCATTTTCTGGTCCTTTTGCTCATGGACTTGATCATGTTTCATGTCTGTATCTGAAGACCATCCTTGGATTAAGGGACAAGCACCTGACAAGCCAATAGATAGTGCAGTTCTCACTAGAATGAAGCAGTTCAGGGCAATGAACAAGCTCAAGAAACTTGCACTGAAGGTAAAATCTCTTTTAAGGGTGTTCCCCTGTAAATACCGAGCTGTATGAAAAAGCTTTCGTCAAAATATCATTCGTTGTTATCTAACTGAAACGTAATTTTTTAGCACTTACTGCTTAACACACTCAATGTAGCTCAAATCTTAAATTTTGGCAACAAATGTTTATATAAATGTCTTCAGGTCATTGCACAGAGCTTGTCGGAAGAGGAAATTAAAGGTCTTAAAGCTATGTTTACAAATATGGACACGGACAAGAGTGGAACAATCACCTATGAAGAATTGAAATCTGGATTGGCTCGGCTCGGGTCGAAATTATCAGAAACTGAAGTAAAGCAGCTCATGGAAGCTGTAAGCCTTTGCTTCTTTGTGTAGGAAAAATATTTCGTATATTATTTTATTTGTATTTTCTTGGAGTAAAATATATGCCTTTTTAAATATCAGGCTGATGTGGACGGTAACGGGACAATAGACTATGTGGAGTTTATTACTGCTACAATGCACCGTCATAAGCTGGAAAGAGATGAAAATCTGTTTGGTGCTTTTCAATATTTTGACAAGGATAACAGTGGGTAAGCTAGCTAAGTCAATGGTCTCATTGCTACATAACTATTACTAAAATTCATCAGTTTCTTTTCTATTGTTATTTTATTTTTTTAATGCTGAAGCATTTTTATTTTTATTTTTATTTTTTGTTGACGTATGTTCACTCTAAAACTGATAGGTAACTTAATGGTACGGACTCTTTCGAACATCGAGTCGTATCTTATTGATTTTATTACTTATTCTCAATAAAAATCAAGTAGAGGTGAACACATTACCGATTTACTTATCTTTTTGTTGGAAAAATTAAAATGAGCTCTAAAAGTTTAATCTTTGTCAAACCAAACACAAACCAATCTTTAGTGGATTGATGCTTTTAGATAAGCTCTTAAGTTATGTTACTAAATTAAAGCTTAAACAAGCTTTGCATCGTATTGTAATGTTATTCTCTCATGCATTACTTGTAATTTACTTTTAACTGTTTTCAGCTATATCACGAGAGATGAACTGAAATCTGCAATGAGGGAATATGGCATGGGAGATGAGGCCACGATTGAGGAAATTCTCTCTGAGGTGGACACAGATAATGTAAGTTGGCTTAAAATTCATTCGTAAATTGTTTAACTGGCTTTTTGAATTAGACTAGGAATTTAAAAAAAAAAAAAAAATGTCTGCATTTTACAGGATGGTAGAATCAACTATGAAGAGTTCTGTGCAATGATGAGAAGTGGAACAACACAACAGGTAAAATTATTTTGAAATAGAGGTGAGCTGGATATTTTACGACCCATTACTAGACTTCGCCTAGAATAGCGAAAACCTCGATTATGAATGTGAGGGGAAAAAAAATTCGTTGTTTCCTTAACCGACTCATTATACAGGGTATGGTTAGAGATGCATTGCAATTTTTTTTCCCCTTTTTCCTTTTTACTTCAGTTTGTAACTGTTGTACCAATGGATACTCGGTTATTGTCGATTATTAACCGCTTGTTTGATGTGTTTCGAGATAAAAAGTTTAATTCCTAATGTACGAATATTTTTTTATATTGCTTTTAATCTTGAAGGAGGCTGTGTAAACTATAAATGCCAGATTTACTGAACTCGTTGCGATTTATCCATCGTTTTTTTTTTTTTTTTTTAAATT